TGGCTGAGGTTAAACCACGACACCTTCTTTTAGAGCTGTTAAGGCTCTTGGCCACATCCAGCTGCCCTGACAGTATCACTTCCAGTGTTTGACAGCTCAACTCATAACACCAGGTCCCTTTTGTGAATGGAAATGTTGCTAAGGAACACTGGCACAGAAGGGAGTGTTGTCTTGTCATGAGTATAGGTTCCTCGAACAGCTGAGCCAACATCCCACTGCAGCTTGGCAGAACCCACACTTGCCAATGGAAGAAAGGAACTCTGGTGGGAGAAGCAGGGCAAGCATGTAGGCGAGGGTAAGTCAGTCTGAGGTCTGCTACAGCACAGCAGATTAACGTACTTGTCCATGTCCTTCTCCTCCCTCATCCCCACCTCTTTCACAGAAAGCTTAAGGACTGCACAACCCCTCCTGAACAGTACGTTACACACTTCTGCCTCTGCACACACAAGACAGCTTGTCACTGTGCTTTACATGCTTACGTGACACCTTCAGTCTCCTCCATAGCCTTTTTCCAGAGGAGTCCTGATGTACATGATGACTTAAACTTGTCAGATAGATGGACAGTTGCCATGTGCCTCTGAAGTGCATCTGACTATAGCAGGGAGTCCGGAAGGACACTGTGCTGAAGAGAACGGCTCTCACGGAGCCACACCACACAACTCACCTGGTGCCTCCAAAGAGAATGATTTTGTCCCCCACTCTGCAGCAGCACTGCCGGCGTCGAGGACACGGGCCTTTCCCCTTGGGTTCAATCTTCCTCCAAGAAAGAGAAACTAACGGGAGGAAGAGAGTGCACCAGCTTATCACAAGAGCCTGGCCAAGACCAGGTATAAGCAGGTTATAGATTTAAATGCTCTCCCTCTTGACCTCCTCACTAGTGGCAAAATGATGCATTTTTATGAGGTTGTTACTGGAGCGTCACTTAGATGCCAGACACAGTCCTGGAGCTCTGCCTGCTGAGACAGGAGTTGCAGATCATATCATAGAATGGTTTGGGTTGAAAGGGACCTCGTTCCAACCCTGCTGCCATAGACACCTTGAACCAGACCAGGTTGCTCAAAGCCCCAGCAAGACCATTAATGAATGCAAAGCCCGAGCGCCAGGATCCACGGGCTGCCACGGCATCATGGGGAGCTGAACAGGGCAAAGCTGCAGGAGCGGACAGGCAGCCCTCTTCCCCAGCACCCTGCTGTGATCCGGATCTGGAAGGGAGATCCAGGCACCAGCTCCATCTGCTGGTAGCCTGCAAATGGAGAGCACCCAGGCAGCGGGGAGGCTGCCAGGACAGTGTGGCGAGCCGAACCAGGTAGAGACAGCAGCCTTTGTCCTTGCTGCTCACTGTGGCAAGAATGCTGGAGGGTGCCTAATGCACAGCATTGAAGGAGCTCTGACACTAGCTCACTGATCAGCTTGGAGAGCAGCAGGTTGGCTGCTCTCAGGTAACTTTACTGTGCAAAAGCAATTAGCAAACAAAATCAGTTTAATGATGAAAAAAACCCTGAGGACCCCAAAACATGTCACAGTTAACTAATATTCAGTGTACCAGCTAAGAACCACCTCTTCTGCTACAGTTGGACCTGGTACCAATAGTGTGTGGTATGGTGGTCCTGCAGCTCGAGTTGCATGTTTTCCCTAGCTACAGTCTCTTGCTCCCCTAACCCCATTGCTTCCCCATATTTTCTCTTCTGCCAATCCTTCTGCATATTTCAGAACGAGACAACATTTTGCCAACCAACTGTCTTTCAAAAATACCTCCTTTAACACTCTGCAACTGAGATTTGGAAATAGTCTGAGAAGAAACAGAGGTCCCATGCACAGCAGCAAGTTACTGTCAGAAGACTCACTTCCTCACAAGCAGCACTTCTTAGAAAGTAGGTTCTTGAAAGCGCTCACATGCCTGAGGGCCTTAAGCACCAACATTGCAACAAGTTAAAAGGATAAATACCTGGATTGAATTTCCAGAGGTCGTGGAAATGTCTGTTCAGGCGTGCATTGTAGCCACCAAATACATATAGCTCCCCATTGTAGCTGACTGTAAAGAGTAAGCATAGACATCAGTGTGTCACTCAAGGCAGAGCCCAGCACATCTCTGATCCAACACCAAATACAAAGCTAAGTGGTGCTGGATGTTCACCTTCATGTGCAGAGTTATGCACAGGGCTTTTCGGTGGGCAGCAGCTTTCCACAGAAACCGGGCTTTGTGCACCCCTTGCTAACCCACATCTCCATCCAGCAGACCAGACACCCCTTCCAGGGCAGGCAGAAATGTCCTTCCATGGCCCTCCTCTCTCAGCAGACCCATACTCACATGCTGAGTGGCTCCGCCGGCCTTCAGGGAGCACAGGAGTTGGAGGAGAGTCCAGCCAGGAGTTTGTTTCGGTATCAAATACTTTGATGCGGTTACAGTAGATCTCATTGTTGGAGTGAAATGGCCCAAAACGATCAGCTCTGCCCCCAAACACATACATCTTTGTTCCAATGATGGTAGCTGAGTGGAAGTCTCTCCAGCGAGCTGGAGTACCCTGAAGGAACAGAGTTAAACAGAACAAGAGAAAGAATGCAGATTACCCCAGGAGATGACACATCTTGATGGTGATGTTGGGTGGCTGCTTTCTTCTGGAGAACTTCCCATCCTACAGATCCCCAGACAGAAGCTGATACAAGTGTGGGCAGCTACCCCAGAGAATAATATATGTGAGACTTCCTCCAAAAACCAGAGTGAAAAGCGGACACTGACCTTGGCAGAGATTAACGTCCATGTCATGTTTGTGGTGTCCAGTTTATGGATATCATTTGAAAAGCAGTCAGCCTGGAAGACAGCAAAGCAGCCTGGTCACAAAGGGACTGAGAAACCTGGTCACATCTGGCCCCAGGATGGATGCTGTTCTGCAGACCTGGAGCATCCCTTTGGAGCCAGTACTTCCTAAGAGACAAGGCACTTGCTCCAAAATGTCAGGCAGCACACTTCTCACTTAACAAGAGGAAGGCAAAGCCCATTTCTTCTCAAAGGTGTTCTGTCTTTTCCTGCTGCTTTCCATTTATTTGGTGCTTAGTACACCCCCAATGGCAGTTCCTGCACACAATACATACATTCACAGCAGGAACCTGCTTCCTCTCCATACAGCTACAGAACAAAGGGGCACTAACAGGACAGCCAAACTGGCTCTGCTCAAACCACCTGATGAGATTCAGAAGCTAAGATTACTTCTAGGAAGCTAAACATCCAGGAGCAAACACACTCCGGGTTCTGTGATCCCATAAAACCCATCTGCAACCAGCTGCCTGGAAGAGACTGCATTCACACAAGCAACATGGTCTCCTGACCCTCCAGGCAGGGGAGAGAGCAACAAGATAGCTTATTTGATCTTGGTTAAAAACAAGATGCATGTGAACTACTCCTGCTGTAATCAAGATCATCAATTTGGCTTGCTATCTGCCTCAGAATAGGGGGAATAACCCAGAGACTGCTGTAAGAGAGCCCCAGCTTTCTTCTAAATAAACAGATGTGACTTGGCACAGCTTTTCTGGAGCTGGTGATAGGCTGAAATGATATTTAATCACTTCTCTTAAGAGCATAAGGATTTGCTCAAAAGAGCATCAGGCACACTGACAGTTACTGCAGGATGACCTTTGGCTCAAGGTATTCTTAACAAGAGGGCAACCAAGTGTTTGCTGGAAGGCATCAACAAGATGATAAAGCAGGTACAGACTACAGGGAACATGCACCAAACTAGGACAAAACCTCACAGCAACACTGCAGACACTGGAAAGTGATTTTTCTGGTTCATTTCTCAGACAAAATAAAATAAATGTAGATTGATATATATTTATCAAAAATGTTATGTATTTATCTATCTAAATTTGGCTGAGAAATGAACCAGAAAATAAATAAATAAATATTTTCACATCTTTATGGCAAATATATTTTGTGAAAGAAAAAAAGACTTGCTTTCCCAACCATCTTCTCCACGAAACAATGAGCATAACCTGGGTATTAATGCTATAACTCTGCTAAGTCACAAAATGAAAGCAACTATGAACACAAATATGCCCCTGTATCCTGCCTCCACCAATGTCCTGGCTATCAACACCCTCTTTCCCAAGGCCTTGCCAATTAACAGTTACAGAGACTACTCACCAGCTGTTCATAGCCTCCGAAGATAAACATGCTCTTTGCCAGGACACAAGCTGAGTGCCCATCTCGTGCTCCTGGGACCATTCCAGACACCTTTGGTGTGAACCACTTGTGCGTGTCTGAAACAAAACAAGAGGCAATGCTCAGAAAACACAATAGGTATTGAGATGGGATAGCTCTTTACTGCTGCTCTTAATTTCTAAGAAAGAAATCCTCCTCTCTTTCTCACACAGCAGCTCCTCTGCCAGAGAGACTGCAAGCTTCTTCAGGCAAAGCTACCTGCCGCAGTCTCCACAGAGGGGCACAGAGACAGAGGTCTCAGCCTCTGGGCATGGCCACCAACTTGTTTGGTTGTCAGGACCTGACAAACAAATAGCTCACATTTGAAGTGAGTAGTACAACATTGCTCGTGCAATGCTATTTCACTGAATCTCTTACAAAGTGTATATGTGAATCACTTTTCAACTCTGCATTTACAGTTTCAATTACAATGAAGCAATAATGCTAAGTGGCTCAACTGACCTCGTGGTGTGGAGATGCTGACTAACTGACTGAGGAAAAACAGCTCCTAAACCCAGGCAGAAGTCACTTAACCACACACTCACCATGTCAGAGCTGCTGTGCACATTCCCACCTCTGCAGTGCCGCTCTCCCTATCTTATCTGCTAGTCTCGTTACATTCTCATCCCCTCTTCAAGGGGAGCCTTCCTCACTCTCTACCCTTCACAGCGCTCCCTGTGAGTCTGCACCAGCCAGATTGAGCCCCTTGGCCTGCATGCTCCACGGGTTGGCTTGATTTAAGGTAGGACTTTAAATCCAGCCAGAGCTGTTCCCCATGCCAGGGCAACATGGAGCTCAGCCAGTGACTTACAGCCAAGCACAAACAGGCACCTGTCCCACGAGTCCAGAGAGGCACAGATAAGCCTTGGGGCAGCAGGAGACATTCCCTCCACCCTCCCTAACTGCTGTGAGTTGCCAATAGCAGTGCTTATTTCAGGAAGTCGTAACACTGGAGCCAAAACAACATTCTTCACAAGGATAACTTCTCTGAACTTGGCCTGTGGACACAGCTATCCACCTATGCTCCAGATGGAACCATACAAAGGGTCATGCAAAGCCAACAGAATCCATGGGCAGCCTCTAATGAGAAAGCTGCAGTGGCTATCAAGTTCATGGGTCTGCTTCCAAGCCCAGTCACACAGTAACAGCAACAGCTCACCCAAGAACATCATGTCAAAATAGAGATGGAAAAGACCTCGACTTGTTATCTGCTCAGCACCCCAGGGACAAAATGGCAGTCAGACATGACTTTATCCAAATGTAACTCCTACAGTGGCACTTACACTACAGACATGGGACTGCAACTGCCAGCCTCACTTTCCAGGAATGGCAGGGCTCAGTGTGTGCAGACAGCTGCAGAGGGTTTGGACCAGGACTGAAGTCTGGCCCTTCTATTAATTTTCACTGAATGCTGAAGTGCTGAAGTTGGCAGGGAGACCAAGCAGCTCTCACTATAATGCCTCTGTGTAGGCAGAGGTTTACTGGTGATTAGTCAGCTGCACATCAGGAGAAGGGGGGAAACTCTGTGCCCAGAGAAAAACTCCAAGCTGTAAGAGAGTTCCTGGTGAAGAGAACCCATGACCAAGCACCAGAGCAAGCAGCTTCCTTGCAAGTCCAGCAAGACAGTTACTGGTCAGTACTTAGATGGACGTGACTCCAGAATCCAGATATACTACCTTCCTTTCCTGACACTTGTGTCTACCCAGTTCCTGATGGTGCCTTTTCTCCAGAGCTGCTCCAACTCTATGGAGAAGCCAACCAAAAGGCTCAAGGAGTTTAACTTTCAGATTTATCTAACTGAACATGCCCTCCCTTATTTTGCCATCCTGTCTCTGACTACTTCTGTGCTTTATTTCTCACTCTTCTTCACACTTTCAGAAAGGAGGACCACACTGGAGAGGAGCCACAATCCTCAAGAGCTCTAGCCACTTCTTGCTGCAACCTTCAGCCACAGTTAAGGAATCACACAGAGAGAACACTTCACTTGTAGTTACTATCAGAGAGAGCACACAAAGCTGATAGAACAATTTAAACCATTTTGACAGTTAGACAAGATCAGTAATCTCTGTTCAAAGACTTTTATAGGGATTCAAGTGTGCAGACACAATGGCCACCCTACGCTCCCTCTAAAACTGCTGAAGCAGCCAGTGACACCATTTCCTCCAGACTGTCACTGAGGGACAGGAAAACAAGTTGGGGAGCAGTGTGGTGGGGCAGAGAGATCTGATCAAGAACAGCTGTGACACAAAACAACGAGAAGCTGGAACTTACTGACATCGAAGGCATAGAGCACATTGCAGGCTCCCTCCGTGTCGTTGCGACCACCCCATATGTAGACGGTGTCATCGATGAGCACTGCTGAGTGCCCGTATCTCATGTAGGGCACCTCCCTCACGTGGTCTCGGCTATTGGTCCACACTGGAGGCAACTTGATCCAGCGCAGAGACACTGAAAACACAAGTTCAAACCCCTGTCAAATGTTAAGCCTGCTACATTGCTCACAGGTCACAGCCCATTCTGCAAGACACGTTTTTCCTCACTAAGAAGGCACAGAAGCAGTCTAGTAAGCAAGAGTAAGTTGTGCGTGACCTCCAAGTAGGAGCTGATAATGAAATGCAGAAGGTCCTCTGGAGGACCAGAGAAGTCTGGACAGAAATAGGCTCTGTTTTGCAACAATTCACTGAAAAGGTTTCCACTCTGGCTCATCCTAGACTGAGTGAAGACACAGCACACACACAAAAATAGGAAAAGGAAAAAGTGCAGAGGTAACAATGAATGCAGATAGTACTTCAAGCGAGTGACATTGTTGAAGAGACTCACAGCTGGAAGAATGGGCAGCACAGGAATAATTCACAGCAGTAACATGCAAGGGAATACACTTGAAGGCATCATTAGGACTTGCAGAAGCAGAGTTTAAGTAAAGCAACACAGCAGCTTTGTAGAAACAGAGTCTGTTTGCTCGTTTTACTTTTTAACCTTTAGATGAGACAGCTGTCCATCTCCTCTTGTACCCAAGCTCTCCCTGCTAACCATGTGTTACTAATAGAGATTCCATGTAATTACAGGTTCTCCTTCCTGGCAGCCTGTAATATCTCATGTTCAGCAGTAGCCAGAGCAGTCAACAGGTATCACAGGGTTTAATGACAGTGCAAGAGTCACAGCAAGTGTTACATGACCATTACATAACAGCATCAGACACCCTCCCTTTACCTCACATACAGCCTCCAGGTTTGTTTTCTACATGAAGCCAACATAAAATACAGCATAAAGCAGTCTGCAGTTCCTCTGAAATACTAACATTGGGAAAGGGTCAGGCAACTGAAAAGGTGAGCATCTACCCCAGAGGCAGAAAGGGCACTGAGGAAGCACATCCAATGGTAAAATCAAGCTAGACAGGATGCTTCCTACGTAAAATAATCTTTATCTTTGGAAGACTGAAAGAGATCATTCAAAATCTGTCATCTTGGCTTAAGCACTGGAACCTGACAGTGCTAACTGAGCAAGGACTTGGGAAGACACTGTCACCTCCCATGCGGTGGCTGCAGCATCGTGACACTAATATTTGGGAGTGGTAAGAAGGGAAGAACGCAAGAGCATTCCTTTGGACACGGTAATTACACTTTCCCATAAGAGCAGCACTCCACAAACTACAACATTCAACTGTGCTGAGTGTGAGAGGCCAGTCTTTCTGGACACAGGTGAATGCCTTTGCTCACAGGATCCTGAGCCACACTCCCCTCTACACTGTGAGCAGATAACCTTAGTAGCCCTGTGTAACCAATGCCTTTATCTCTGCTGCACAAGTCAGTCTTTAAGGAGTGAATTCACTGCATCTTACAAACTAGCTTTATTTACGTGCCACATGCATTAGCAGAGCACTCAGCATGCTGTCCAGTACACAAAATTGGTCATTGGTTCTCTGTTTTTGGCTCTGTTTAGCTGGACCCATCCAAGCATCTGCGCAGTTTTTCAACCACCTGCCTAATTACAGGAATATGCTAACTTGACCAGCTCAGTAACCTCTTCAGTTCAAAGAGCACTAAATCAAGAAACACAGCCCTTGCCAGCACAGCCATGGCTCCAACTCAGCCTCTTGACAGGTACTGGCTACCCTACACAAATGGCTCCAGTTCCAGATGTTTTTCTAAGGTATGTTGTGAATCTGCATGATAGGTGCTGCCAAAATGGAAAGACCTCCATTCTAGCCACATGCCCCTACTAACTCCATCGTGCTGTCAGCTGCCCCTATAGGGAAACAGCTCAGGAGCCTAGATCTGGAGTCTTAACTGAGTGCACTGGCTCTCATCCTACTCCTTCTACACTATGAGCAGCTGAGCATGGACTTGCTGCAAACTGGAGGGGAGACCTGAGTCAGCTAGATATCACTTCTTTGCACCTGGCTGAGTTAGTATTCACAGAGAACAAGGACAAAATAAGCCATTGGCTACGTGTCTACTTCTAGTGAGTTCTTATCTGAGCAGGCTGCTGAACTACAGCCCCTCTGTGTCCTGCCCCTGAAGCTGAAAATACAAGGCTGCACAAAGAAAGAAGTTCCCATCTACTCTGATAATTTTTTTTAAAATTAGAGTCAGACAGCATGTTGCAGAGTAATATGTTAAGCAGCAGCAGGCAAGAAAACTAATAACCAAGCCCAGCAAGCCAACTCCTTTGTGCACCACAAGGACACATTTACCTGCGTTAAAAACGTGGACGTCAATCTGTCGCAGAGTCTCATAGTCTTCTCCAGAGCAGTATCCACCAAAGGAATAGACCTTGTGCCCAACAGCCACGGCTGCGTGGTTCACCCTCCGTGGCCCACCTTCCAAGTGCACTGCCCACCGTAGCATTCCTCCCTGCAAGCCAGACAGTCCTCAGGGCCCCCAGTGCCACAGCTGCATGCTTCCCAGGCCACCACGATGCCACCTGGCTCTGGAACAGAGACAGAAGGATAAAATAATATGATCCATCTCACAGGTCTTCCTATCTTCCCTGACTGTCAACTACAGACGTCACATTGCTGTATCCTCATCCATCTGCCTCTCCCCTGGAGACAGTTTTACTCTCCCCTTGGGAAGGGGACACAGGGCAGGTATGGTAGCCTGAGTAAGGCTTGGAAAAGCAAGCAGAGATGCCCTTGCATAAAAAAAAAACCTCAGGGTGGTTGTACACGCAGCCCAAGCCAAACACCAAGGCAAAGGCAGCCGAGTGTGGCCATGCCCTGGTAATGCACGCATCATGTACACATCAGAACCATTTGTCTGCATGAACTAAACCACAATGAGAGCCAGCTGTGAAGGTGAAAAGAACAGAGCCAGAGGGAAGAGTGTGCTCTTTGAATCAATTGTGAGAAACAGCATAGGAAAATATCAAAACAAAACACCCAGCGAAAAGCTCCAAAGAACCACCCCCACATAAAGCAACCAACTGCCCATGATGACAGCACTGGCATTTGAACTCATTGATTTGACCACTAGTGTCCAACCTAATTAAACACAAGAGAGCAGAAACCCCTAATCTAGGGAGAAAGCTCTTAGTTAATGATCAGAACAGAAAGGCCTTTTTCTCCTGCAACAATTCCAGGCATAACTATGAAAATTCTGTAACATCATATCTCTGTTAAGCAATTGATATACTTCACATCTCAAACAGATGGCCTAGATTGTATCTTAGAGAAGACACCACAGCTGATTCTTGCAGAGATTCTCCTTTGGATCTAACAATCTAGCAATCTAGAGCACAGTCCTGCCTGGATGCTTCTCAAAAAGCAGGTCAGTTTGACTTTTTAAACAGTTTTCTCCCAACTGAAAAATAGCCATTAGAAGAGATGTCAGTGTTTGAGAGCCTAAAGAAAATTTCTTGGTTCTAGGTTATTGAAAGATGAAGTCAGCACGCTTCCATCCCACACCCAATTTTATGATTTGCAAAATCCAGAGAAATTTGGGGATACCTTAGAACAAGGACTAAAAATTCTACACGTAAAATTCCTACACATACACAAAATGCCTACACTCTGTCCCTTTTCTTTTTGCAAAGTAGTGAGTATTCACAAGGGGAACTTTCCTCCCATTTCAAGTCTGTGAAGTAGCTAGAGAGCAGCATGAAAGGGGCAGCACCACACTGCCCTCCCCTCAGCCCTCCAGTCAAGCAGAACCACTGCTGACAACCAGGCCCATCAGCAGCCTGACCACCTCTG